GAGAAGAAGGCGGATGTGGACGCCATCCACGAGTACCTGCTGCTCAAGGGAGTGGAGGCCGTGGCCATCCACGGAGGCAAAGGTCAGTGCGGATGCGGACCCCACTCCCCACATGCCTTGCTGCTATCCGCACCCGCTGGCCTGGCTCGCTCACCTCCCCGCGTGGACCAGAACTCCTCCCCGCGATGTCCCTCACAGCCTCACACCTGCCTGCACCCCTCCCCCCCCCACTAGACCAGGAGGAGCGTACCAAGGCCATCGAGGCCTTCCGGGAGGGTAAGAAGGATGTCCTGGTGGCCACGGACGTCGCCTCCAAGGGCCTGGACTTCCCGGCCATCCAGCACGTCATCAATTACGACATGCCCGAGGAGATCGAGAACTACGGTAAGGGGCGGTGGGCTGGGAAACAATCGAGGGTACCCCAGCCCCTCCCCCCAGGGCGGAAAGGCCTGACGCTGGGTCCCCTCTCCTGCTGCAGTGCACCGGATCGGCCGCACGGGTCGCTCGGGAAACACAGGCATCGCCACCACCTTTATCAACAAGGCCTGTGGTGAGTGGGCACACCCCCTCCACCCTACCCCACTCCCCCACTACCGGGACACTGCGCCCCCACCCCCCCGGCTCAGGGTGGGGCCTGATAGCAGCTCCCCCGCTCCCCCACCCCCACCCACAGATGAGTCGGTGCTGATGGACCTCAAAGCGCTCCTGCTGGAGGCCAGGCAGAAGGTGCCTCCCGTCCTCCAAGTGCTGCACTGCGGCGACGAGTCCATGCTGGACATCGGAGGTAAGGACACGTGGGTGGGGCGAACGGGTGCGGGAGTGGGCGGGGAGCGGGGGGGGGGGGGGTCGCCGAGCACTGACCACGCCTCCCCGTGCCCAGGAGAGCGTGGCTGTGCCTTCTGCGGCGGCCTGGGTCACCGGATCACCGACTGCCCCAAGCTGGAGGCCATGCAGACCAAGCAAGTGAGCAACATCGGCCGCAAGGACTACCTGGCCCACAGCTCCATGGACTTCTGAGCGGTCCACGCCCCCTAGGAGGGCGCCCGGCCACCATCGCCCCTACACCAGAGCCAGTGTCTGCAGCCCAGCTGGGCTGGGCCACCCAGGACTGGCTGCCTATCCCCCCCCAAGCCCCGACCCCCGAGCCCCGCCCATAATTACTTATTTTTGTTCCCCAGCTGCCAGTAAAGCACAAACCGCGCTGGGCTCGCTGCCCTGGCCCAGCTCCGAGTCTCCGCGTCTGACTTGTGTCCGAGCCCCTCCCCCATAACGCCCCCTGCTGGCAGGGCCAGGCCTGCCCTCCCCGCAGCTGTTCACTCCCAGCTTGCTGGCAGAAGGGGCAGTTGAAGCCGGGGTGGGGCGGGAAGGGGAGCGCGCCCCGCCAGTGTTCCCATGAGCTGCCTGGATGCATGACTCCAGGGTGGGTGGACCCAGAGGAAGTGGGAGTTTCTGGTCTGGGGGGCGGGGGCGGCTGGGTGTCACTCCAGCATTGCCCCACAGGTGAAGCTCCCCTCTGAGGGTCCACTTCCTGCCCAGGCTCCCTGCACCCCACCCGCTATGCCCATAGAGGGAAGCTGAGTCCACAAACACCCCACTCTATAGGCAGGGACCCCAGTAAGCCAGGCAGTCCCCGGGTGAGTGTGGGGCGGAACCTGACAGTGAGCTGACTGTGGGGGGCTATCACAGGGCCCCTGCAGACCCGCCAGGATCCCACACACTAGACACCCTCCGTGGGGAAAGGGCCCCCCCATGCAAAACTCTGCCCGGCGCATCCCTCAGAGCGCCGCTGCTGGCAGGTTACTTAAAAGGTTTCTGAGCCCAGTTTCATCACAAGGCAGGAGGCGCTTGTGGCCACAGCAACCTGGGGCCCAGTGGCACTTAGGTTTCCTGCCCCAGGAGCCAGCACTCTCAAAGTGCTCCCAGCAGTGGCCTGCAGATATGATCACACACACACACTCACACACATTATAGCATGAAACAGCTCAGCAGAGTGGGAGGGGTTGAGTGACAGAGGGGCAAGTGGAGAAGAAGGCAGGAGGAAAACTGGGGACATAGGGGTGGGAAATATACACTGGTAAAGGGACGGGTATTGGAACAATATGTAACTGAAACCCAATGGTAAGCAACTATAACTGCATCTCACAGTGATTCAATTTAATTTTTTTTTTTTTTTTGCTTTTTTGGGTCACACCCAGCGGTGCATAGGGGTTACTCCTGGCTCTGCACTCAGAAGTTATTCCTGGCGGTGCTCAAGGGATCAATGGGATGCTGGGAATTGAACCTGGGTCAGCCGCGTGCAAAGCAAACACCCTACCTGCTATGCTATCACTCCAGCCCCCAATTTTAAAAATATTTTTAATTAAAAAAAAATTAAAAAAGGGGAACAGGCCTTAGCAATAGTACAGTGACCCCCAGCATCCTGTATAGTCCCTCCACCCCCACCCGGGCACCACCAGGCATAATTCCTGGGTTCAGAGACAGGAGTAACCCCTGAGCATCATGAGGCAAATCAGATGTGACTAAAAACAAAGGAGGGGCTGGAGCAATAGCACAGCAGGTAGGGCATTTGCCTTGCATGTGGCCAACCCAGGTTCAATTCCCAGCAACCCATATGGTCCCCTGAGTAGGAGTGATTCCCAAGTGCAGAGCCAGGAGTAACCCCTGAGCATCGCTGGGTTAACCCAAAAAAGCCAAAAAGAAAAAAAACAAAGGAGAAAACAAAAGAAGCAGCGCTCAGGGCAAGAGCAGAAGGGGTCCATGTTTGCGCATCTGCATATTGACATGTTTGCTGAGCTGGAGGTCCTGGATTCAACCCTTGAGCACTGCTGGGTGGAGCCCACAAAAAGTCTGAAAGGACGGTGAGCAGGACGCTGGCCAGGGTTCAGTCCCCAGCACTATGAATAGACCCCCCCCCCGGGAGCAATTCCTAAGAGCAGAGCCAGGAGGGATCCCCCGAGCACTGCCCAGTGTGGCCCCAAAACCAAAAAAAAGGAAGAGATTGTCCAGGGAGGACTGGGCCACACCCTGGACTCTAGGCTCCATGCCCTGTGACCTCCCAAGCACCACCGCCAGGTGGACCCAAAACCCCTGGAGGAGCCCCCTGACCCCCACCAAAGCTGGAGACATAGGGCAAGGATTAAGGTACACTAGTCTTGCATCTGCAGGTTGATTTTAGGTTGACCTTGTGACCACTCACTACTTCCGGAGCAATTGCACAGCGGGTAGGGCATTTGCCTTGCACACGGTCAACCCGGGTTCGATTCCTCTGTCCCTCTCGGAGAGCCTAGCAAGCTACCGAGAGTATCCAGCCCGCACAGCAGAGCCTGGCAAGCTCCCCGTGGCAGATTCGATATGCCAAAAACAGTAACAACAAGTCTCACAATGGAGACGTTACTGGTGCCCGCTCAAGCAAATGGATGAACAACAGGAGGACAGTGCAACAGTGCCACAGTCTTGCATGCAGCTATCCTGAGTCCCCTCACCTTGCCAGGAGGAATCCCTAAGTATAGCCCTCCCCCTCCCAAAATCAAAAAACAATTGAGGAGCTAGAGCAATAGCACAGCAGGGAGGGCGTTTGCCTTGCACATGGCCCCTAAGCACCGCCAGGGGTCATTCCTGTGTGCAGAGCTAGGAGTAACCCCTGTGCTTTGCCAGGCGTGACCCAAAAAGAAAAAAAAAAAAAACAACAGGAGGTGAATCCCCCGCCTGCCACCCCAAGATTTGCTGCCAATAAAATTTTTAAATAACATAAATAATAAACTAAAATGCAGCATCCGGGGCTGGAGCGATAGCACAGCAGGTAGGACGTTTGCCTTGCATGTGGCCCACCCGGGTTTGAGTCCCAGCATCCCATTTGGTCCCCTGAGCACCTCCAGGAGTAATTCCTGAGTGCAGAGCCAGGAGTAACCCCTGTGCATCGCCAGGTGTGACCCAAAAAGAAAAAAAAAAGTTGAAAGTATGTGTGGGCTACAGGGATAAAACTGGGGTTGAGGGTGCTAAGACACTTGCCTTGCATGTGGCCAACTCCAGTTTGATCCCCAACTCCGCACTGGGTCCCCGAAAGTCCAGCAATGAGTGATACCGGGGTGCAGAGCCAGGAACAGCCCCTGAGCACCACCAGGTATGCCCAACCATCTCCCCACTCCCCTGCCCCCAAGAAAAGGAAAAGGTGTTATCAGGGGGCCACAAGCTCGTAGCCCCCTCTGCCTACAGGACGGGGGTCCCCAGTGGGCCTCCATGAACTCAGACAACAAGGAAGAGCCAGAAAGGCTTCCTGGAGGAAGAGGTGTGGCCTGGCATCCCAAACCACACAGGAGTGATGGGTGCCACAGTGGGGCCAGGCATCAGGACTGGGCAAAGGAGCCCATGCAAGGTGGGGGGAAGCAGAGAGGAGAGAGAAAGCGAATCCCAGGGGTGGCTGGAGTAATAGCACAGTGGGTAGGGCATTTGCCTTGTATATGGCAGACCTGGGTTCGATTCCCAGCATCCCATATGGTCCCCTGAGCACTACCAGGAGTAACTCCTGAGTGCTTGAGCCAGGAGTAACCCCTGTGCATCGCCGGGTGTGACCCAAGAAGCCAAAAATAAATAAATAAATAAATAAATAAATAAATAAAGCGAATCCCGTTCCCCAGGGGAGACCAGGCAGCCCTGCCGGGCGGACCCACCAGTCAGGATTCAAGAGTGACCTCCCGAGGAGCTGTTTCATCTGGGGGACCCACGGTTGGGGGCCAAAGAATGATCAAGTCTGGGCGGGAGGTTACCCGACCCCATCATGCCTTCCTGTTAAGCACTCAGGAACACGTGAGGCCCTCGAGACCCCCCCGGGAGTTAACGGAGGCTCTGCCTCCCCCCACACCCAACCTAGTGCTGTACGATGATGACGGGGCTCCCCTCCCCCCACCCCTGCAGCTGCCACTCTGGACAGAGGGAGGGGAAGTGGCCAGAAAGGGGAAGTGTGAGGCCCTCCCCAGGCTGGCTCGGTTTCCACCTCAGGCGCTCCGGGCCAGCACCGCCATGGACGGCCAGGAACCCCCAGTCAAGGACGGGATCCTCTTCCAGCAGCAGATCAAGTTCGGCAAGGTGGGAACCCTGTGGCCAGACGGTCACCAGGGGTGGGGGGAGGACACAGGGGGGTGGAGGAGGTGGCGGGGGGGGGCCCATCCTGCCCCAGCCTGGCAACCTCTCCCCCCTCTAACACCCCATATTAGATCTGGGACAATGGGGTGGGGGTGGGGGGGATACTCAGGTCTGAGAAACCAAGCCTGAAGCCCTGAGATCGAGACAGCCCAGAGGAAGCACCCCCAAACTGGAGTCTCGGAGACCCAGAATGGGGGCAGCAACAGCCCCGCACCCCAGGGCAGTTGGGGGGCCTATCACCTACCTCAGGGCTGTTGGGGGGTGGGGGCGAGTTGCGCTCGGGGAGCCCCACCCTGCAGAAGTTGGCTTGAGGCTCCTCCCAGCCAGGTCACAGGACCGAAGGGAGGGGGGCCTTCAGCACCCCACACCCCCCTTCCTGCAACCCACAGCTGCTGCCCAGGCAGATAAACATTGGGGCTTCCTTGAAGTTATTTGCATGTTTCTACCCCTGCCAAAGCTGCATCCCACACCCCTGCCCAGGGCCTGGGGGCCAAGTTGAGGAAGGGGACACAGTTCTGCCCTGGGCACCTGATCCTTCCCAGACTTCACCCGGGAGGGCCCCTGGTATTCCCATGCCCCTTCAGAGGCACGAGGACAGCCATGCTCAGTCACCGGAAAATCCACGGGAGGGGGCCAGAGTCGCAGGACAGGGCTGGCCTTGCACGAGGCTGAACTGGGTTCAGTCTCCGACATCTCCTAGGGTCCCTCGAGCACTGCCAGGAGTGCAGTCAGGAGCCAGGCCTGAGTATCGCCAGGTTTGGCCCCAACAGGGGGGGGGGGTGGAGAGAGAAAGAGAGAGAGAGAGAGGGAGAGAGAGAGAGAGAAATTCAGGGGCTGGAGTGGTAGCACAGCAAGGAGGGCATTTGCCTTGCACTGGAGACCCAGGTTCGATCCCCAGCATCCCAAAGGGTCTCTTGAGCACCGCCAGGAGTGATCCCTGAGCACAGAGCCAGGAGTCAGCCCTGATTATTGCCAGTATGGTCTGCCCCCCCAGAAAAAAAAAAAAATGAAAGGGAGGTTGGAAGGATTGGAACCCCGGACCTGGCAGCTTGCAAAAACTCCCTCTGGGGCTAGAGCAATAGGACAGCGAGGAGGGTGTTTGCCTTGCACTCAGCTGACCCAGGTTCAATCCCTGGTATCCCATAGTCTCCTGAGCATCACCAGGAATGATCCCTGAGTGCAGAGCCAGGAGTAATTCCTGAGTATTTCCAGGTGTGACCTCCTCCCACCCCCCCCCCCCAAAAAAAGCAAGAAAGAAAATTGTTTAAAAACAAAAAAAGCTTGGGGCTTGAGCGATAGCACAGCAGGTAGGGCACTTGCCTTGCATGCGACCCACCCCGATTCAACTCCCAGCATCCCATATGGTCCCCCGAGCACTGCCAGGGGTAATTCCTCAGTGCAAAGCCAGGAGTAACCCCTGAGCATCACCGGATGTGACCCAAAAAGCCAAAACAAAATAATAAAAAAAAAAACACCTGCCTCTGGGGCTGGAGAGATAGCACAGAGGGTAGGGCATTTGCCTTGCACGAGGCCGACCTGGGTTCGATTCCCAGCATCCCATTTGGTTCCCTGCAGCACCGTCAGGAGTAACTTCTGAGTGCAAAGCCAGGAGTAACCCCTGAGCATCGCCGGGTGTGACCCCCAAAAAAAACACCTGTCTCTAGGATGGGGAGTTTTGCCTAGCTGCCTGCCATCCCCACTTCTGGGGGTGTGAGCTGACTCCTGGCTCAGGGATCACTCCTGGTGGTGCCCCAGGGATCTTCTGCAGGGCGGGGAAGCTGAGCCCAGCGTCCTCCGCCTGGTCCTCTAGCCGCATCCCCCTTAACCCTGGTCTCCCCCGCAGAAGTCCTGGCGGAGGATGTGGGCTCACCTGTACGCCGGGGGCCCCTCCGGAGTGGCGCGGCTGGAGAGCTGGGACATGCGAGAAGGAGGCCCCCCCGGAGGTGCGAGCGAGCGGGCCGCGGGGCCCGGCCGGCGCGGGGAGCGCAGGGTCATCCGCCTGGCCGACTGCGTGTCCGTGCAGCCCGCTGAGGCTGAGAGCTGCCCGCGGGACACCAGCGCTTTCATGCTCAGCACCACGGAGCGCAGCCACCTGCTGGCGGCCCAGCACCGGCAAGAGTGGCTGGACGCCATCTGTCACCTGGCCTTCCCGGTGAGTCCCTGCCCCTTCCCCCGTGCCCCTCCCAATACACGCGCATCGCCCTGGTACCATCCCCTCCAACCCTCCGCCCACCCCCCCACCCCCCCGTGGCCCTGGGGACAAATAGGAGCCCTCATGGGACCAATTCCATTGGACTCTTCTCTGCAAGTTTGCTTTGGGGCCCGGAGGCAAGGGCTGGGGCTGAGCCAAGAACTGAGTGCCCAGCCAGGAGTAACCCCTGAGCATCACCGGGTGTGGTCCCCAAAAGGCAAAATAAATAACTGACTAAATAAATAAATAAAGAAGGGAACTGAGATCTAGTGCAGGGGCACAGGCTTGCCTTGCATGAGGACAAAGTCAGTTCCCGGTCTTTTGTTGGTTCTAGTTTGGTTTTTGAGCCACACCCAGCAGTGCGTATGCTTGCATCTGCCTCTGTGCTCAGGGGTCCCTCCTGGGTGGGGGGGTTTCAGGGGCCGAGACAAGTGTCCTACCTACTGTACTATCCCTCCAGCAACCCTCCCAATCCCATGTTGTATTCATAGTACTGTGTGGTCCCCAGGCACTGCTGGGAGTGACTCCCAAGAACAGAGTTGGGAGTAGCCCCCGAGCACCAATGGGTGTGGCCCTCTCAAAAATGGCGGAGGGGGGGCTGGAGCGATAGCACAGCGGGGAGGGCGTTTGCCTTGCATGCGGTCGACCCGGGTTCGATTCCCGGCATCCATATGGTCCCCTGAGCACTGCCAGGAGTAACTCTTGAGAGCAAAGCCAGGAGTAACCCCTGAGCATCACCGGGTATGACCCAAAAAGCAAAAACCAAAAAAAATGGCTGGGGCTGGGGAAAGCCAGAGCCATAGTCTAGTGGGAGGGTGTTTGCCTTGCACATGGTCGACCCAGTTTTGATCCCCGGCATCCCATAGGGTCCACCGAGCACTGCCAGGAGTAATTCCAGAGTGCAGAGCCAGGAAAAACCCTTGAGCATTGCTAGGTGTGACCCAAAAAGCAAAAAGGTGGGGGCCAAATAAAGGAGAGAGTGTCCCAGTAGTAAAGTCTGCAGGGTGCTCTGAGTGAAAGTAGAGTAGATGCAAATGTCCAGGGGCAGGAAGGAGCTGGGTGTATTTCAGGGGCAGGAAGAATGCAACCTGGGGGGTGGGGAGAGGGGGGAGGACAAGGGCCAGTGCAGGGCTGAGGAGGTCAAGGAGGAGGAGGGGGAGAAGCTGGTGAAGGCACCTGTGCACCCACCCACCCCACCTCCACTCTGAGGGTTTAATACTGACCCAGAGGAGAAGCTTGCAGTGGCCGGAATGGCGCAGGGGTGGGGGGTGGGGGGCAAGGGCTGGGGCTGAGTCAAGAACTGAGAGTTTGAAAGGCTCCCTGAGGTGAGGAAATGAGGCAGCCCTTCCTGAAATAGCAGGCTGAGAGATTTTGGGCCTCTCATCCAGACATTCAGCTCTTTTTTTTTTTTTTTTTTTTTTTTTTTTTTTTGCTTTTGGGTCACACCCAGCAATGCACAGGGCTTACTCCTGGCTCATGCGCTCAGGAATTACTCCTGGCCGTGCTCAGGGGACCATATGGGATGCTGGGAATCAACCTGGGTCGGCCATGTGCAAGGCAAATGCCCTACCCGCTGTACTATCGCTCCAGCCCCACATTCAGATCATTTAACGTGAGTTCAAACAGACACTCCAGGGGCTAGAGCCATAGCACAGCAGGTAGGACATTTACCTTGCACGTGGCCAGCCCAGGTTCGATTCCCAGCATCCCATATGGTCCCCTGAGCACCGCCAGAAGTAATTCCTGAGTGCAGAGCCAGGAGTAACCCCTGTGAATCACCAGGTGTGACCCCAAAAAGCAAAAAAAAAAAAAAAGATGCACCAGGGACCGGAGCAAGATTTCAGCGGGCAGGGCGTTTGCCTTGTACCTGGGCAACCCAGGTTCGATCCCGGGCATCCCATAAGGTCCCCCAAGCCTGCCAAGAGTGACCCCTGGATGCACCATGAGCATCATCAGGGGTAGTCAAAAAAAAAAAATACAGGGATCTGAGTGATAGTACAGAGAGTAGGGCATATGAGTAGGGCGTGCGGCTGACCTGGGTTCAATCCTCAGCACCCCTTATGGTCCCCAGAGCCCCCAAGCCGGGAGTAAGCCTTGAGCACCATTGAGTGTGGCCTACAAACCAACCATAAATAGGGAAATAAATAAACAACAACCAGAGGCCCCAAGGGTCTGTCTGGAGCCTTTGTAGAGAAGGGAGGGCATTTGCCTTGCCTGTGGATGACCAGGGTTCAAGCTGGAGTCCCATCAGGAGTGATCCCTGAATGCAGAACCAGAGGTCAGCCATCAGCCCAGACCCACAAAAACAACCCTCCCCCCAAAAAAGGAAAAACCCGCTGGGATGAATAGATAGTACCGCCTGGTTTCCCCAGCACTGCCCAAGGTCAAACACCAGCACCCACCAAAAAATATAAATAAAACCAGCGTAGTTTAAATGGACAGTTTGGAGCTAAAGGGTTTGAATCCTGGTCAGCCGCAGGCAAATGCCCTCCCTGCTCTACAAATGCTTCAGACAGACCCTTGGGGCCTCTGGTTGTTGCTTTTTTTATTTACCTATTTATTTTTGGATTTGGGGGCCACACCCAGTGGTGCTCAAGAACTCAAAGAGCACCCTCTGCTCTTGGGAGCCCCACATTTGAACCTCAGCCCCACGTTGTCCCCAAAGCACGGTAGGGATTGGCCAGCCCCAAACAAACAGGACCAAAAGAAAGGATAGGAGAGGAGTGACAGTACAGAGGTAGGGCATTTGCCTTGCACGCAGCCAACCCAGGTTCGATCCCCGGCACCCCATAGAGTCCCCTGATCACCACCAGGAATAATTCCTAAGCTCAGAGCCAGGAGTCAGCTCTGAGCATTGTCAGATGTGGATACACACCCCCCACAAAAAGATATATATATATATTATATATAAATATATATGTCTATATTATATATATTATATTTATATATAAAAAGATATATATATATATGGCAGAGAGAATCAGCATGTTCGACCAAGTTGGGAGTCAGGAAAAGCCCCAAGGGAGAGAGGAGGTGAGGTGAAGGGGGCCCTGGAGGAAACCATTTCCTGGAGAAAGACCCCAAAATCTCCCATCCCTTCTCTGTTTCAAATCAGAGGGACTCTCTCCTGCCCCCTAAAGAGAGCCTTGGAGCCATAGTACAGTGGGAAGGGCATTACCTTGCACACAGCCGACCAGAGTTCGATTCCCAGCATCCCATAAAATCCCCTGAGCATTGCCAGGAGTCATTCCTGAGTGCAGAGCCAGGAGTAACCCTTGAGCATTGCCAGATGAGACCCAAAAAGCAATAAATAAATAAATAAATAAATAAGTATAAATAGAACCTTGAGTGAAGAGACTAAGGGTGGGAGTCCAGGTTGGCCAGGTGCCACTCCCAAGGTGCTCCATCTGACCTTGGCCTCTTCCCCAGGGCACGGGAGAGTGCTCCCCAGGCTCCCGAGAGGATGAGCGCCCCCAGAGAGGCCTGGTGTGCATGGAGGAGAATTCTATCTACTCATCGTGGCAGGAAGGTGAGGCAGGGGGAGGCGGCTGCGGGGCTGGCATCTCGCAGGGGAGGGGGACAGTGGGAGGCGGCTGCGGAGACTCCCCTCACGTGCCCCACCCCCGGTTCGCAGTGGGCGAGTTCGCCGTGGTCGTGCAGAGGACCGAGGCTGCCACCCGCTGCCAACTCAAGGGCAACTACGTCCTGCGGCTGGACCGCGAGGGCATCCACCTGAGCCCGCCAGGGGGCGCCCTGGTGCTCTACACGTGGCCCTTCCACTACCTGCGCAAATTCGGCTCCTGCAAGGTGAGAGTAACGGGCGCGCGCGGAGCCGGGGCCCAGCGGTGGGACCGCGGGGAGGGCGCGCGCCTGGCGGAGAGCCGACCCGGATTCGATCCCTGGCATCCTATCATGTACATCCCCCTCAGCCCTTCCAGAGAGGACCCCTGTGCTTACTAGCTCTGAGCACAGCTGGGTGTGATCTCTCCCCCCCCCCCAAAAAAAATAACAAAACATTTATATAGGGTGAAGGGGCTGAAAGATAGTGCAGACGCAGTTGACCCAGGTTCAATCCCTGGCACCACAGAGAGTCCCAAAAGCTCACCAGGAGCGATCCCTGAGCACAGAGTGAGAAGGATGCCCTGGGCACACAGCCAGGTGTAGGACACCCAAAAAATATCAGTTGAGGGAGCCAGGAGCGGGTAAGGTGATTGCCTAGCACATGGCCCTCGGGAGGTGGGTTCAATCTCCCTGCACACCATAATGTCCCCAGAGTCCCCAGAGCCCCACCAGGGATAGTGCCTGAATGCGCTAGACCCAGTAAGCCCTGAATCAGGTGTGACCCCAAAACAAATATCAAATATATAAGTATATATTTGATATTTGTATTTGAGAGATGGGCTGGAGTGATAGCACAGCGGTTGGGCGTTTGCCTTGCACGCGGCTGGCCTGGCCAAGCCGGGTTCAATTCCTCCGCCCCTCTTAGAGAGCCCGGCAAGCTACAGAGAGTATCCCGCCCGCACGACAAAGCCTGGCAAGCTACCCGTGATGTATTCAATATGCCAAAACACAGTAACAACAAGTCTCACAGTGGAGACGTTACTGGGCCCGCTTGAGCAAATCGACGAACAATGGGAGGACAGTGATTTGAGAGATATATTTGATATATATGTGATGGGGGGATTGAAAGCTAGTACAGCGGTAGGGTGCTTGCCATGCACGTGGCGTCTCTTGAGCATTGCCAGGAGGGACCCCTGAGCATAGCTGGGTGTGGCCCCCCAACAAAGAAATTAATAAAGGAAAGGGTAGAGGATAGTAGGGCCAGGCCTTGCCCAGACTCCCTGATAAAGGGTGAGGAAGACAGAGGGGAGAAGTGGGGGAGGACGGTGAGGAGGAGAGTGGGGAGGAGAGTGGGGAGGAGGGTGGGGAGGAGGAGGAGGAGGAGGAGGAGGGTGGGGAGGATAGGGGGGAGGAGGGTGGGGAAGATGGTGAGGAGGTTGGAGAGGTGGTGGGGAGGAGGGTGGGGAGGAGGAGGAGGATGCTGAGGAAGGTGGAGAGGAAGATGGGGAGGTGGGTGGGGAGGAGGGTGAAGAGGAGGGTGGGGAGGACGGCTGGGAGGAGGGTGGGGAGGAGGGTGGAGAGTAGGACAGGGAGGAGGGTGGGAAGGTTGGGGAGGAGGGTATGGAGGATAGGGAGAACGGTGGGGAGGATGGGGAAGATTGTGGGGAGGACGATGAGGAGGACGGTGGGGAGGACGGCGGGGAGGAGGGTGGGGAGGATGACGGGGAGGACGGTGGGGAGGAAGGCGCAGAGGCAGGTGTACCCCCCCTCCGGCTGCTGACGGCCCCGCCCGCTGCCCAGGGCGTGTTCTCCTTCGAAGCCGGCCGCCGCTGCGACTCCGGGGAGGGCCTCTTCGCCTTCAGCAGCGCCCGCGCCCAGGAGCTGTGCGGGGCGGTGGCCGCGGCCATCGCCCGGCAGCGGGAGCTGCTGCCCGAGTGGGCCGGAGCTCGGCCCTGCCCGCTGCCCCGGGCCACGTCGCTGCCGTCGCTGGACGCGCCGGGCGAGCTGCGCGAGCTGCCCCCGGGGCCGCAGCCGTGCGCCGCGTCCGCGCCCTACCTGGCCGAGCCGGGCCCGCAGAGCCTGCCGCTGCTGCCCGCGCCCCCCGACGAGCCCCCCGCCGGGCTGTACGCGTCCGTGTGCAAGCGCGCCGGCGGCTCCGACCACCTCTACGAGAACGTGCAGGGCGAGGCGCGGGGGGCGGCGCCGGGGGGTCGCAGCAGCTCGCCCGCCAGCCCCATCTACCACAACAGCGAGGACCTGAGCTGGCCCGGCCCGGGCCCCGACAGCAGCCTGGAGGCGCAGTACCGGCGGCTGCTGGAGCTGGAGCTGACCGACGGCGCCGACGGGGAGGCCGGGCCCGGGCCGGCGGGCGCTCACAGCGGCTTCAAGGCCAAGCTGGTGACGCTGCTGAGCCGCGAGCGCCGCAAGGGACCGCCCTGAGCTCCGTCCCCGCGCGGGTGTGCGCACACACACGCGCGCACACACGCACACACGGGGCCTGGCACCAGGAGAAGAAAATACAGGGCGCACCTTGGAACCGGGGTGGGGAAAGACTGCTTCCAACTATTAAAGCCCCTCACCTAAGAAGTTTCTCTGGTCCCCCTTCATTTGCGCGGTTCGGGGTTCTTTCTGGGTCACACCCCGGGATGCTCGATGCTCAAGGGTTACTCCTGGCTCAGCACTCAGGAATCACTCCTGGCGGTGCTTGGGGATCAAACCCTGGTGGGTCGTGTGCAGCGCGAGCACCCTCCCCGCTGGGCTATGACTCCAGCCCAGATTGCTTTTTTTTTTCTTTTTGGGTCACACCCGGTGATGCACAGGGGTTCCTCCTGGCTCTGCACTCAGGAATTAGTCCTGGCGGTGCTCGGGGGACCCTATGGGATCCTGGGAATCGAACCCAGGTTGGCCATGTGCAAGACAAACGCCTTCCCACTGTGCTATATCACTCCAGCCCCCCAGATTGCCTTTTCCTCAAACATCTGAACACAGATCCCACACAGATTGTCAGAAAGACACCCCCTCCCCCCACTTCCCTCCCAGCACCGCCACCCGGTACCCACCCTCCATGGAAGAAACACGCTGCTCCCCAACATCACCTGTGCTCGGGTCCCTCACAGCTGGGGCGAAGCCCACTCACTCACTTCATCACCCATAAACCTGCTCCCCCATTCCAGGTCTGAACTGAACCTACCCCTTTGGCCTCAAATTCAGCCTCGTCCCCGCCCCCCCCCCTCTCTGTCTCTGTTCCTCTTCCCAGCGAAACTCCTCAAAAGACTTGTTGATTACTCTCATTTCCACTTTCTTATCTCCCACTCTCCTTTCTCCCCCCACCTCCCCTTCTCCGTGTCACTGCCCTTACCCACGTTCCCTAGAACCCAAGCAGCCTGGACTTCCGCCGCCTTTTTGCTGGGGGGTGGGGTGGGGGTGGGACTTATTCCTGGCTCTGCACTCAGGGATCACTCCTAGCCCCTGGTCATACTCAGGGAGACCCTACGGATGTCGGGATGGAACCTAGCTGGACGGCACGCAAGGCGAGCATCCTGCCTGCTGTACTATATCTCCAGTTGCCCCGATTTTTCTTGGCGTTGGGGCCACACCCGGTGCCATTCAGGGCTCATTCCTTGCAGTGCGCAGGCGTCAGAACTCAGGGGACTTTATGGATGCCGGGGACCCAACCTGCATTGACGCCGTGCACGGCAAATGCCCTATCCACCGTACTATCTCTCCAATCCCAGGTCTTGCTGAGTCTAAATGCTGATGGGGTGGCTGGAGGGGTAGCACAGCGGGTAGGGTTTGCCTTGCACCAGCTGACCAGGGTTCGATTCCCAGCATCCCATATGATCCCCTGAGCACCGCCAGGAGTAAGCCCTGAGTGCAGAGCTAGGAGTAACCCCTGAGTATCGCTGGGTATGACCCAAAAAGCAAAAAAAGAAAAATAATTAAACGCTGATGGGTACTTGGCTGGCCCAAGTTGGATTCCTAGCACAGCGTAGGGTCCCCTGAGCAAGAGCGAAGGTAGAAAGAACAAGAAAGGCAGAAGAGGCAGAAAACAGGAAACTGACATTCAAAAAGCTAGCACTGACGTGGAAAGCCACTGAGGCAGGCTCCTGTGACTGCTCTATCTCTGCTCTTCCTCCGGGAGGAAACATCCCTTTAGATAAGCCCATTATAGAGATGTCTGGCCTGATAGACTAAGGCCCAGAGCCAGAACGATAGTAGGAGGATGAACAACATTCTTTGGTGAATTGCCTAACTATTCTAATCCACCCGTCCTAAACTCTTATACATTTGTATGTATAAGGGCCTTCATCTTTTGGCTTTATTATTTTTTTTTTGGGTCACAACCAGCAATACTCAGGGTTACTCCTGGCAGTGGTCAGGGGACAATATGGGATGCAGGGAATCAAACCCAGGTCAGCTGCGTGCAAGGCAAATGCCCTCCCTGCTGTGCTATTTATTGCTCCAGGCCCTTTATTTTTATTTTTATCTCGTTTTACTTTCTTTTTTCCGGGGTGGGAACACCCAGATGTGCTCAGGGCTTACTCCTGGCTCCTTAGCACCACTGAGTGTGTCCCTCACACCACCCTAAAAAAACTTCTGGGTGGGGCTGGAGCGATAGCACAGCGGGTAGGGCGTTTGCCTTGCATGCAGCCGACCCGGGTTCGATTCCCAGCCAACAGTGTTCGGTCCCCCGAGCACTGTCAGGAGTAATTCCTGAGTGCATCATCCAGGAGTAACCCCTGTGTATTGCCGGGTGTGACCCAAAAAGCAAAAAACAAACAAACAAACAAACCTTCTGGGTGGTTACAATCACGATCTAAGTGAAAACGTTCTAGGAAAATTTCTCTTGAGTGAACCCTGAAGTTCTGGCGCTGGCCACCAGGTGGCACTGTGCCCCCGCCAAGCGCCAGTTCCTGGCTTGGGCCGTGCTCTGCTCCAGGCCGCCCAGAATGAGGGGGTCTCTGAAGGGAGAGTGTGAGGACCCCCAGACTGTCCCTTTCTTTGTTTATTTACTTGTTGTGGGGCACCACACCCGGCGTCTCTCAGGGATCACTCCTGGTCGGGCTCTGGCCTATGGCCCTATGGGGTGCTGAGGATCGAACCCAGATTGGGTTAAAGCAGAAGCCTTCCCTGCTGAACTATTGCTCCAGCCCCTCATTTATTATTCTTAAATGTACAATCACGGTCCACTACGGACAGGCACCTACCTGCAGGACTGGCGGAACTAATTTGGTCAAGGAGAAAGTAATGCAACCCTGGGAAAAATTGTACAAAAGTCATAATGTGTTATCAGCAGAAGCTGTTTTATTTATTTTGTTTTTGTTTATTTTTGCTTTTTGGGTCACACCCGGCGATGCGCAGGGGTTACTCCTGGCTCTGCACTCAGGAATCACTTCTGGTGGTGCTCAGGGGACCATATGGCATGCTGGGAATCGAACCCAGGTCGGCCGTGTGCAAGGCCCTACCCATTATACTATCCCTCCAGTCCTTTATTTATTTTATTTTGTTTTATTTTTATCTTGGCCTGTGAGCCACACCCAGCGGTGCTGTGCTCAGGGATCACTTGTGACAGGGCTCAAGGGGCGCCACGGGATCGAACCCAGGTCTGCCATGTACAAGCTGGGCACATTTACTTCTGTTCTTTTCTTTTTAAAATATTTGTTTGGTTTTTGGGCATCACCAGGCAGAGCACAGGGCTTACTCCTGGCTTTCTACCTAGGGATCACTCCTGGCAGTATTCTGGGACCCTGGAGATGTCGGTAATGAAACCAGGGTCATTATCCAGTACAACCCCCCACCCCACCCCCACACCTCGCTAGACTATCTTTCTGGCCTGGGAGAAGCTTCTGACTCTGCAAAGGGTCTGGGCTGGGCAGGAGCATGGCGGGAACGCGTGAATCATCCTTCCTGCTGGCGCAGGAGCGTGGAGGTGGGGGTGTTGAGTGAGGTGGGGAGGAGAGGAGGTGGGATTAAATCAAGACACCCTGAAAACTGGGGTTGGCTCAGGGGCTCAGAGCAGCTGCGGAGCAAGTGCAAGGCTCTGAGTTCGAAGCTTGTGCCACGCCCAGTCCGGAAGGTTCTGCTGGGTTGTTGGCTTGTTTGTTTGTATTTAGTTTCTGGTCACATCCGGTGATGCTCTGGAGTTACTCCCGGCTCTGCACTCAGGAATTACTCCTGGCGGTGCTCGGGGGACCCTATGGGATGCCGGGGAGCAAACCTGGGTCAGCTGTGTGCAAGGCAAACAAGCTCCCCATTATACTATCGCTTCTGACCCTGGTTCTGCAGGTTGGACCCGGGCACTTCTCAGGTGCATGAGCCCCACCGCATTCACCCTACTGCCCAGCTTGCCAGCAACACCTCTGAGGGAGATGGCTCAAAGGGGGAACACGTGATTTGTTATGGGGAAGACCTGGGTTTGAACCCTAGCACTGCATGGTTCCCTAAGCAAAGCGAGCCCTGAGAGTGAGCACAGAAGCAGGGGTAGCCTCTAAGGACAAGAAGGGAAGGGGAGGAGCCTGAGCGATAGTCCAGCGGGTAGCGTGTTTGCCTTGCACACGGCCAACCCAGGTTCGATCCCCGGCATCCCATAAGGTCCCCTGAGCACCGCCAGGAGTAATTCCTGAGTGCAGAGCCAGGAGTAATCCCTGAGCATTGCTGCCTGGATGTGACCCAAAAATGAAGAAAAAGAAGAAGAAGGAGGAGGAGGAGAAAAAGGAGGAGGAAAAAAGGAGGAGGAGGAGGAGGAGCAGGGTAGGGAAGGAGAAGGGGTGAGGTGGAGAACAGGGGGAGGGGAGAGGAGGCTAGGGAAGGGGAGGGGAGGGAAGGGAAAAGGGAAGGGAGAAGAAAAGAGGGGAAGAGAGAGAGGAGGGGGGCGGAGGGAAAGGGAGAGAAGAGAAGGGAGAAAAGAGAAGGGGGAGGAGAGGGGAAGAGAGGGGTGGAGAAAGAGAAAGGAGCAGGGTGTGAAGAGATCAGGTGAGGGGAGAGAGGAGGCTGAGGAGGGGGAGGGGAGAAGAGGAGGGAAGGGAGGAAGGAACAGAGGGGAAGAGAGAAGGGAAGGGGAGGGGGAGAGGCCTGGAGTGGAAAAGAAAGGAGGTGGAGGGGAGAGGATGAGAGAGGGAGGAAAGGAGGGGGAAAGGAAGAGGAGAGGAAGGGAGGAGGGGGAGAGAACCGGAAGGGAGGAAGAGGAAGGGAGTGCATTGAAGGCTGGAGAGCTCAGGGGTTAGGGCCTGCCTTCCTCCGATCCTTTGATCCTAGAGGGTTCCCAGAGCATCCCAAACTCCTGATTAGACTTCATCCCTCACCCCAGCCGTGGCTGGTACCACAGCTGGGCATGGTGGGTAAAGTGGGGCCTTTCCGGTTGGAGAAGGGGTGCTGAGCACAGCCCCTCTCCATCATGTGGGGTTCCCACTGAGCAGGGACCCCCAAAGCTGCTGGCCGTGGAAGGGGCCTGGATTAGGAGGTGGGAAGGACTCACAGAGAGATCCCAGGCTGAGCCAAGGGCAGCCCCCTCCTTCACGCCCCCCCCCAAAGGCATTTCTTCTTTAACGGACTGAGCCACAAACCTCTCCTCCAACTCTTGTGCTATTAGGACATGTTTTCCTCTACTTCGATTTAAAAATTAAATATTTTTCTTTAGGGGCTGAAACCATAGCACAGTGGGTAGGGCGTTTGCCTTGCACACGGCCAACCCGGGTTCTATTCCCAGCATCCCATATGGACCCCTGAACACCGCCAGGGAAAATTCCTGAGTGCAGAGACAGGAGTAACCCCTGTGCATTACCAGGTGTAACCCAGGTGTGACCCAAAAAACAAAAAGAAAAAGATTTCTTTCTTTTTCTTTGCCAGGGGATGGAGGGTGGGCCACACCCGGCTGTGCTCAGGAGTTCTGTTTCTGTGCTCAGGCATCATTCTTGGAGGTGCTCCAAGAACCCTATGGGGTGTGAGGGATCGAACCTGGCTTGGCCGCTTGGTAGGAAACTGCCCTGGCCCCAAATTTAGAAAGTTAATTTAATTTTTTTCTTTGGGGGCAATACCCGGTGATGCTCAGGTGTTACTCCTGGCTCTGCGCTCAGGAATCACTCCTGGCTGTGCTCGAGGGACTCTACGGGATGCTGGGAATCGAACCCTGGTCAGCTACACGCAAGGCAAATGCCCTCCCGGCTGTCCTGGCCCCAGATTTAGACATTTTAAAGCCACGATCGACGTGTGCTCCTCACGATGGCCAAGTCCTACCCATTCGACGGCCCTGCGAGGCGAAGCTTTATTGCCCCATTGCCCCCGACTCGGGAGGAGATCGATGTCCAGGTCGGTCTGATTTCCAAGGCCAGATTTCCAAGGTCTGATTTCCTCTGACTGGGCCCGCCCAGGCGGCGCTCGCGGACGCGCACTCCGCAATTAGGCCCCGCCCCGTATCCGCCACACCACGCCCCCTAGAGGCGTGGCTTCCCGCGACCTCGCGCGACGGCGCTCGACGATTGGACGGGACCGGATCCTTGGGTGGAGCTTCCCGCCGGTTGCGAAGCGGCGAGGGGGCGTGCCCCGTGGCTCCGCCCCTGCGCGCGGACTCAAAGTGGTCGCTGGCTGGGGGGCGGGGCCAGAGCTCGGGCGGCCGATCCCGAGGCGGCCGCGGGGAATCCGGTGCCCGGCAGCGCCCCGGCGGGGCACGAGCAGGTACGGAGCGGCCGCGCGGGACGACTCGGGCCGGGCCGGGCGCCTCGGAGCGGGGCGGGGGCCGTCCGGGAGCCCCGCGGGGCCCGGTGGCGCGGCGCGAGGACGGGCGGGGGGTGGGGGCGGGTGGTCGTGGCCAGCGCGGCGCTTCCTCTCGCGGGGCCCCGGCCCCTGCCTCCGCCCCCGCCCCCGCCTTCCTGCCGCAAAGCCGGCTGCGGCGGGGCCGGTTGGCGCCTGCGCCGCTTCCTGCGCCCCGGCCTCGGCCCATGCCAGTGGGGCCCCGGCGGGGGAGGGAAACTGAGTCACAGCGGGCGGGTTAGCAGGCTTTATGGGGCAGAGGCACCACCCCGCCGCCGGGGGCCCCAGGAGGGACCCCGTGCCCTGGCCACTCCCGGAATCCTTAGTCCCTTCCTCCGATCGCTCCCTCTTAGCCCCCGCGGTGGAGCCCTCATGGCCCAAGGGTGCCCGCCCGGGCTCCCGGCCGCCCTGACCGATCCCGGAATGCCTCGGACCCACGCCAGCCGCCTCCCTTCCCACCCCTCCCCCTCGCCCCCGGAGCCCCCGCGTGCTCCTCTGCTCAGTGTCAGTTTACACGCCTTATATAGCCCGAGCAGGCTCCAGCCCCAACCCGGCCGCCCGCCGGGAGGAGCGCAGGGGCCCCTGACTCACTTCGCTGGCCTGGGGGGCGAGTCCCGGTCAGAGCACACCCCTCTCCACGCCCCTCCCGTGCAGGAGAGCCCCCTCCGTGCAGCGGCCCGCTGGGCTCCGTGCAGGGGTTGTCCGCCCCGCAGCCTCCCAGGGGCCGTTGTTGGACCCAAGTGAACCCAACCTGATAAAGAGTCCGCATGCCCCGGGCCCTGGGTGTGCAGTTGGGTGGCCGTTGCGTGCCGGGCACCAGCCCAGAGCGCCCGGCCTGCCTGGGCACCCGACCCAGCCCTGACTCTCTTTCTCTTGTTTTCAGAAGAAGCGGGGGGGGCACACGATGGAGTCGTTCAAGGTGGTGTTGGAGGGGCCAGCCCCGTGGGGCTTCCGCCTGCAGGGGGGCAAAGACTTCAACGTGCCCCTTTCCATCTCCCGGGTGAGTCCCGGGTGGGGGAGGGGGCAGCCCCAGAGCTTTCTCGGGGGCTCAGGGCTTCCAAGGGGTGACGAAGACGACGACGATGGGAAGCATCATTCAGCAGCAGTGAATCAGGATTGAAAGTCAAAGAGTTGCCCAGGACCAGAGGAAACCCCCTGCCCTGCCCTGCCCGGTGCCTCATTAACTCTCTCACCCGGCCTGGGTGTCCTTGATCCCATTCCACAAAGTTTTGAGGACTTTGAGGGCCTGGGGGTGGGGGCTCTGAGCACACCCATTTCACTGGAAGGTAGCCTGAGGGAATCTGGAGCCTCTTAAAGGAGCAGTGCCTGGACGCAAGCCATAGGACAACCGGGAGGGTGCTTGCCTTGCGTGACTTGGGTTTGATCCCTGGCTTCCCCTGGGGTCCCCCAGTCCCGGTCTAGAGTGATCCCTGAGCACAGAGCCAAGAGGAAGCCCTGAGCATTGCCAGTGTGTGGCCCCCCAACCGCCTCCAAATAATAACAACGACAACAAAATGACAGCCTGGAGCTATAGGACAGCGGGGTGGGTTTGCCTTGCACACGGTCGACTCTGGTTCGATCCCCAGCCTCCCATAGGGTCCCCCAAGCCCTATGCCAGGACCTTGAGCATTGCCCTGCGGTAGCCCTCAAACAAAACGAAACAAGACCAAAAAAAAAAAAAAATCAGTGCTTGGCGCCAAGCCCCCGGCGGGCACCTTGGCGACCCAAGCTCACTGCCCTCCCCTCCCCCAAGAATTAACCAAGCCGACCTTGGTCTTCCAGAAGAGGGAACCCAGATGCAACAAGTGGGGGGGGTCCTTCCACGGGGTTTGAAAGCATAGCACGGAATGGGGTGCTTTGGTTAGAAGGGGGTTTTCTCCAGTCTCTGCGAGCCTTTATCCCCTTCCACCCCAGATGCACTGGCCTTTGACCCCCCCCAGCCAGCTTTCCAGCCCCTGAGATCCCGCCCCCTTGGGGCGTGGCCCGGGCGTGGCCCCGCCCCCTGGCCCGGGATTGCCTTATAAGCCCAAGAATGCAGCCCCACATTGTGATGGCCAGCAAACATGGCCAGCGAACGGGTGGCTCGCGTCTGCGGGACCTAAAAAAAGGCTGGCGTGGGCCCTTGAACCCCACGGGTGGTCCCCCTCCTTTGGTCACCCTCAGGGCCATGGCTCCGGGCTGTGAGGTCATTTGGGGGCCACCAACAAACAAACCGCCTCTGGCCTGCAAGGGTGAGGCCACACTCTGTGGCCGGAGGGTCAGCAGGGGGTGGGGACTTCCTGCCCCACATCTGCCTGTCCGCAGAGACCCACCCAGGCACCCGGGGGTGGGCAGGCGGCTGTTGGCAGGAAGCCCAGGGTCTGCAGGGGGCAGATACTTTTCTAAAAGGTACTGCCCAGCACAGAGACGGGGCCCTTGGGCGGAGCCTGTCCGCAGCAGTCGGGTCTGGTGGCCACCGTTCTTCCCAGGGAACCTCGCCACGGGGTTCTTCTGGAAACAGCCGCACCAGTACGGGAATGAAACCTTGCTCCCCTCCCCAGCCCCCCACTCTCAAACGTGGCCTGCCCTGAAAACCTATCCGGCGTCCCCCTCTCGCTGGGAAAGTGCTGACCGCAGGGCTGGCGAGCCGGGGCCTGGCGGGGCCTCAGAGCCCGGGTGTCCTAATGGGCGGGCCTGGACAATCTTGGCAGCCCGGGGAGATGCACTTCCTGGCATGGTCAGATGGGGGCGCTCTAGAGGGGATGGGGGGGGTCCTCACCAGTATGTGGGCGGGGCGCCACCCATGCAGCCCCGCCCCGGGGCTGGAGCTGGGCCCTCCTGGGCCGGGCCAGCGAGGAGGGTCTTTGCTGAGCTGGCCTGGCCCCCTTCCTCTCCCCTGACCCCAAGCCTGGAGGGACGAGGGAGGGGCTAGGCCTGGCTGTGGGCCCGGGCCTGGGAGATGAGGTAATGTCTGGGGCTTAGGGGGGGTTGGGCTGCCCCCGGAGCCCTCAGGCTGACTCACCCCCACCCCAGGCTAGTGTCCAGCCCCCTGGCTTTTCCCTTCCTGAGTCTCAGGGCCTCCCCAGTTCATACCACCGGACACAGACCATCCCCCAAACCGCTGCCCCTGAACACCTCAAAGCTCTTACCCAGAAGGCAACCACCCGGTTTCCCTTAAACTAACCCATCCAGGTTCTTTTTTTTATTTTTTGCTTTTTGGGTCACACCCGGCTATGCAAAGGGGTGACACCCAGCTCATGCACTTAGGAATTACTCCTGGTGGTGCTCGGGGGACCATATGGGATGCTGGGAATCGAACCCAGGTCGGCTGCATGCAAGGCAAATGCCCTACCCACTATGCTATCTCTCCAGCCCCCCCAAACCCTCTTTTGTGGTTTCACTCCTGCTAGGCGGGGCCCATTTCTTGCAAACCCACTTTTGACAAAGAGTACCCCGCTTGCATCACTCAGAGCCTGCAGGGTAGAGAGGGGAAGGTCACGTGGTCATTGAGGTCTTTGTCCCCCGCCACCCCCATCTCTAGCCTGGAAGAGCCCCATGGACACCCAGATACCCCTCCAAGGCCCCCCCCTTCCCTGGGAATCCGGGAATGGGGCTGGGGGTGGGGTGGGGGCGGGGCATGGCGCTGGGCTTGGTTGACCCTGACAGATGGTTCAGGACTAGCAGCAGAGGTCAGGAAAGCACCCAGGGGTGCCGGGGAGGAAGTTGCCACACATGCCAGCCAGTGGGCATGTCTGGGAGGGGAAACAGCCCGGGCCCGAGGCCAGGTGAGGTCTGGACGGCAGCAGTTGGAGCCCCAGCGAAGCTTGGGGGTGTAGCTGTTAACATCACAGGCTATTTCTGTATCTTAAAATCTTGTTTTGGGGGGGCACACCTGGCGATGTGCTCAGGGCTCGCTCCTTGCACCAGGCTCAGGAATCACTCTTGGCGGAGCTGGGGCTCGGAACCCTATGGGTGGCTGGGATTGAACTCAATGGCATGCAGTGAAAGCGCTGAGAAGTAGGGCAGCTAGTCGAAACGAGGGCTGGGAGCATCAGTCCATGCTTGGAAGTTTGCTGGGGGGATGAGGGGGCAGTTAGGACAGAGAAGGGACCGCTGTGACAACAGTACTTGGAAATGATCACTCTGGACAAGAATTGAGTGCTGAGAGGAGGAAAAGGGCCTGTATTGCAAACTACAATGCCCAAAAGGAGGGGAGGGGGGGAGGGATGAGAGGGAGAGGTGGTGGGAGCGAAATTGGGGACATGAGTGGTAGAAAATACATGGGTGAAGAAAGGAAGGGTGTTGGAACATTCTCTTTGTTGGGGGGGGGGGGTCACACCTGGCGATGCTCAGGAGTTATTCCTGGCTCTGCACTCAGGAATTACTTCTGGCGGTGCTGGGGGACCCTATGGGATGCTGGGAATCGAACCCAGGTTGGCCGAGTGCAAGGCAAACGCCCTCCCTACTGTGCTGTAGCTCCAACCTCTGGAACATTTTATGGCTGAAACCCAGCCAGGAGCAACTTTGTAACCGTGTTTCTCACTTGGTTCAACTAAAAAAATAAGTTTTCAAAAAGAAATGGGAGGGGGTTCCTCCAGTGGTCCCCCCACTTCCTTGAGCTTATCCTTCCACCACCTCAAGGGGAAATGGCCCCTGGAGAAGTTCTTGGGTTCTGGGTTCTGTTTTTTCATTGATTTATTTTTTGTGGGAGGGGGTTACACCTTGCGTTGCTCAGGGCTCTGTGCTCAGGGATCATTTCCTGGCAGTGCTCAGGGTACCCTGTGGGACATCCAGAATCCAGCCACGAGCAAGGCAAAGCAAGCTCTCACTGTGGCCCCTGCTTTTTTTGTTTTTTTTTTCCGCTTTTTTGGGGGTCACACCCAGCAATGTGCAGGGGTTACTCCTGGCTTTGCACTCAGGAATTACTTCTGGGGGTGCTCAGGGGATCCTATGGGTTGCTGGGAATCGAACCCGCGTTGGCCCCGTGCAAGGCAAACGCCCTGCCTGCTGTGCTATCACTCCAGTCCCTGGCCCCTGCTTTGTTTGTTTGTTTGTTGAGTTTTTGGTTTTCAGAGGCGGGACTGCACCCGCTCTGCGCTCAGGGGTCGCTTCTTGAGCAGTGCTCTTGGCGGATCATAACAGGAGGCCAGGGATCGAGCCCTGGCCGGCTGTGTGCCCGGCCAGCGCATCTCCCCCCTGCCCTGTCCTTGGGTTCTGCGAGGCAGCCCCTGGGCGGGGGTTGCCTGCCACCGTGGTGACCCTCCACTTTGCTCCGCGGCGCGCACGCAGCTCACCCCGGGCGGCAAGGCGGCGCAGGCGGGCGTGGCGGTGGGCGACTGGGTGCTGAGCATCGACGGCGACCACGCGGGTGGCCTCACGCACATCGAAGCCCAGAACAGGATCCGAGCCTGCGGGGAGCGCCTCAGCCTGGGGCTCAGCCGGTGAGTGGGGGGGACGGGCGGGCGCAGTGGGGGGAGAGGGAGGGGGATCATCCTGGGTCCCGACTCATCATCCCTGCCGCTGCCCTTCTAGGGCCCAGCCGGCTCAGAGCAAACAGCAGAAGGTAGGGACCCATCTGGGTCATCAGCGGGTGGCGTGGGGGTGGGCGTGGACACCCTGATGGATAAGAGAGTCTGTCCTCACGACCCTCTGGTACCCGGCAACCAGGCAGGGGGTTGGCAGCGGGGGCAGTAGGGGGGGGAAGTCGAGGCAGGGGAGGGTGGGGGCGGGGGTGTGGGGAGGTGCCCCAGGGGCTGCCGCATGGTCCGGGCGCCCCACGGTCACGCATGTCTGCCTGTTTGTGCGTGCGCCGCCTGCACCCCGCTGCCAGCTGCCCTCCGCCCTTCGCCCCAGGGCCGCGTGGGGGTGACATCATCCCCTCTCCCAGTCCCGGGCCGGCCCCTTGAAACTCAGTCGCACCCCCACCCCACCCCCACCTCTTCCCCGGTAGTAGCCTCAAGCCCCGATGTGCAGGGGTGTGGCGAGAATATCCTTATCCTCCTGGCACTGGGAGGGTAGGGAGACCCACTCCCGCCCCGCCCTGCCCCCTGCCCTGCCCGGCTCTGTCTCCTGCCCAGGCCCCAGCCCCCGCCGCGGATCCCCCGCGGTACACCTTTGCACCCAGCGCCTCCCTCAACAAGACGGCCCGGCCCTTCGGGGCGCCCCCGCCTGCTGATGGTGCCCCGCAGCAGAATGGGTATGTCGGCCCCAGCGCGCCCACTGTCCGCACCCCGCTCCCCCTGCCACTCCGCCTTCTGCACCGCCTTCTGCACCGCGCCCTCTGGCCAGGCGGGACCCTGCGGCAGCGACCCCTGGTGGCCAGGACAGGGGCTGCAGGCACCGGGTGTGTCTAGGGGGCGTGGCTGCTATCTGGCTCCGCCCTCCGAGGGGGCTTGGGCTGTTCTGGCCCCGCCCTCCGTGGGCGTGTGCTCAGAACCAGCCCCCCTGGTTTCCTCCCGCCCAGGTAGTGGGGTGCAGTGTCTTCAGGCCAGTGAATCCTAGACAGCCATGAGGCCTCTAACCTTCCCAGCGCCTCTGACCCCTTGCCATCTCTCTTCTTCCCGTGTCTGTCCCTTTCTCTGTCCTTCTGTCTTGTCTTTCACAGGTGCAGACCCCTGACAAGTCAGTACCTGCCCTCCGCCCGCTCCTCTCTTCCTTGCTTTTGGCACTCTGGGTGGCAGCCCCTTCCCTCACCCCTCTCACGGTGCCCCCCACTCCACCCCACGCCTGGCCCCTCCCCCACTCTCCTCACACCTCCCCGAGTCCCCCATCTGGGCAGGTTCCCCCACGGCCTGACCCCATCCCCCACCCAGCAGAGGTTCTGAGCCCCCCGACCTTCCCCACAGACAGCTGCTCCGGCCGCTGGCCCCGGACCCCAGCAAGCAGCGGCTGATGGAGAACATGGAGGACTGGCGGCCGCGGCCGGGCACTGGCCAGTCCCGCTCCTTTCGCATCCTCGCCCATCTCACGGGCACCGAGTCCAGTAAGTGCCAGGGCCGAGGTGGTGGGTGCGCCCCCAAAATCCCCCCACCCCGGGGCCCTGGGCTGGTGGAGCCCTGTGTTCAACTTCCCCGGGCCAATGCTTGCCTCTGCCCTCTCAGTGCAAGACCCAGGTGAGGAGCAGCTGAAGACATCAAGGTAACAGGGGGCCCGAGACCCTCTGGCTGTAGGTCCTACCCCGCCCCTGCCCCTGGACCTGGGGGTCCCCAGCCATTACCCCCCAACCCCTCCTCTATCCTTTCATCCTCCCAAGCCCCCTCCTCCCCTCCCTCTTCTATCCTTCCCTCCACCCTCCCTCCCTCCTCTGGCTTCTTCCCCTCCCTCTCCCATCCTTCCTCCCCCCGTCCTCCCCCTCCCTCTTCCATCCTTCCTCTCTCCTTCCTCATGCTTCCTTTCTCCCTCCTCATCCTTCCTCCGCTCCCAGCCCCCTCCCTTCTCTCCATCCATCTGCCTTTCTCCTGAGCAGCTTCCTGCCCTCCTTGTGTTTCTCTTTTCCCCTCCCCCTTTCCTTCCTTCCCTCCGCTTTTCCTCTTATGTCTCATTTCCATGCATCCGTTCTTCCATCCCCTTCCTCTTGTCCTTCCATCTAACCCCCTTCCAGCTGTCCTTCCTTCTCTCCTGTTATCCATGTTTTCTTCCATCTGTCCATCCATTTTTTCTCCTGTTCTTCCTCTCATCCTTCCTTGTATCTTTCGTACCAGTTATTCTACTTGTCCTTCTTCCACCCCTCCTTCTTCCTTCCATCCATCCTTCCGGTCATCTCCTTCCTTCCTTTCCCTTTTCTTTTTCCTTCCTCCCTTCTATTCTTTGCTTCCTCCCTTTTGTAATTTGTTTTAATTTTTGGGCCACGTCTGGCGATGCTCAGAGGTCACTCCTGGCTCTGCACTCAGGAATTATCCCTGGCAGTACTCAGGGGACCTGGAGGATGCTGGGAATCGAACCCGGGTCAGCTGCGTGCAAGGCAAACGCCATACCTGCTGTGCTATCACTCCAACCCCTCCTTCCTCCCTTTTCTTTCTTCCTCCACCCCTCCCTTCCTTCCTCCCTTCCCTTCCCTTCCCTTCCCTTCCCTTCCCTCCCCTCCCCTCCCCTCCCCTCCCCTCCCCTCCCCTCCCTCCCTCCCTCCCTCCCTTCCTTCCTTCCTTCCTTCCTCTGCCCTCTGTCCTGCCGCCCTCTCTCCCTTCCATCTCTCCCACCTGTGCTTCTTTCTCCGTCTCTGTCTGCCCCTTTCCAGGGAAAAGTTCATCGCGGAGCTGCAAAGCCCCCGTTACACGCGCCTTCGAGACTGGCACCACCAGCGCTCTGCCCACGTGCTCAACGTGCAGTCGTAGCGGGGGCTGGCGGGCCGCGGGCCTCTCCCTCCCCGTCTGTCCCTCCGCACAGGGCACCCCCTCGGTGCCCCCGAGCTTCTGCCTCCCTCCCCGCTCGCCGGCCCGGGCCATGAGCCTTCTCCCTGCCTGGCACCGGGCCTGGCTTCTGTCTGCCACTCACTGCCTGTGCTCTGCCCTGCGGCTCTGCCGTCTGCCAGGTCTGTGCCGGCTGGAAAACGGAAATAAACGTTCTCAGCGCCGCTCTCTGCGCCTCTGTCTTCTCTCTCTGTGGGCTCCCCCTGACCTTTGGGGGGGCATTAAATTAGCGTGTCCCCACCTGGTGTTGGGGTCGTGTCATCTGGGGCTCCCCCTGGGAGGCGGGGGCACTTGACAAAGGGGGGAGCTGGCCTCTGGGCCAATGGGCGCCCCACCCGGGGTGCCCGAGAAGCGAGAGGGAACCCTGCTTTTGGTTTGAAACTTGGCTCAGTCCAGCTTGTACCCCGCCGTGGCGTTGATGGTGGGGGCCTAAGGGGGAACCGGGGTTCAGCCCCCGTAGCACTCAGCACCCCCCCGGTGGAACGTACCACGGGAGCAGCACTTTGGGGGTTCAGCCTGCAGAGCCTTGAACGACAGTTCTTGCAGCCAGGTGCCCGGGACAGAAACCCCTGCCCCAGCTTCCATGACATCCCAGGAACCGTGGCCCGGTGAGATCATAGATGGAGCGGGAAGGGTGGGGGGAATACACGCCCCCAGCCGCTGGGAGCCTCCCTCCCCCCCGGAACTGGGGGCACCCCGCTGGAGCCCCCTCTCCTTGGTCCCAGCAGGCCCCCCGACCCCCAGCCCCACCAGCCGGCCGCCCTGGGCCGTGGACCCCGACTTCGCTGAGCGCTATGCCCCGGACAAGACCAGCACGGTGCTGACGCGGCACAGCCAGCCCGCCATACCCACGCCGCTGCAGAACCGCACCTCCATCGTGCAGGCCGCCGCGGGGGGCCAGGGCAGCACGCCTGTGTGTCACCAGTGTCGCAAGGTCATCCGGTGGGTGGCCCCGAGCCCAGTCTAGCCCCGACTCTCCCTCCCCTCCCTCCCGCTGTCTGGGGTCTGGGGGGCCAGGCTTGGGATTTGCTTCCAGCCCACTGCAGCCCCCACCAGGGGAGGGGGAGAGGAGGGGGAGCAATCCCAGGGATGGGTCCCAGTTGCCCCCAAGGCTGGTCCCAGCTGTGCCCTGCAGCTCCTCCTCGTTGCCCCCTTGCTGGGGTCCCCTAAGCTCATCCCCAACTGCACCCCTCGGCTTTCTCGCGGCCTTGCTTCCCGGGTTCTGGAATAGTCCCACGGCACCCCCGTCCCTCTACACACCCACACACACCAGCCTTGCTGCAGACTGCTCAGCTTCTAGAACCTTCCTTGGCCATCTGCCAGACCCCACAGGCAGGCTCTGTCAGGTGCATCCTCCTTCAGACAGCCCCCCTTTTGCAAGGGACCAGGGCTGGCTCAGGTCATTGCGGGTCTGCTGGGTTCAGGGAGTACTCAGGGGACCCCCACCCCGTGATTTCTCCCTGAGGAATCCCAAAGGCTGCCCCCCCACCCCTGCATGTCACCTCCACCCCATTCCGGACTGTTGTCTTGACTTCTACTCTGGGAAAACATAGCAGGCCCCCCAGCTGACGAGCGTGCCCTCTCCCCACCACTCAGGGGCCGCTACCTGGTGGCACTGGGCCACGCGTATCACCCTGAGGAGTTTGTGTGCAGCCAGTGCGAGAAGGTTCTGGAAGAGGGTGGCTTCTTCGAGGAGAAGGGGGCCATCTTCTGCCCAGCCTGCTATGACGTTCGCTATGCGCCCAGCTGTGCCAAGTGCAAGAAGAAGATCGCAGGGGTGAGTGGGGCAGGGAGGTGGGCATCGGAGCTGTGTCCCCTCCACACACACACACACTCACACACTCACGCACTCAAGCACTCACACTCAAGGACACATTCACACTGACAAACACACATACAGTGACACGCACACACACATACACTCACACGCACACTCACGCAGACACACACTTGCATACACACACGCATACTCACATGCATACACACATATACACTCACCAATATACACACACTCAAGCACTCATGCACACACTCACACTAACACACACATACAGTGACACACACTCACGCACACACAAACACCCACACACATAGACTCACACGCACACTCCCGCGCATAGACACACACTTGCATATACACACTCACGCATACACTCACACATGCACACACACATATACACATTCACACACTAACATACACTCAAGCATTCACACTCACGCACACATTCACACCGACACACACATACAGTGACACGCACACATGCACACACAAACGCCCACACATACACTCACACTCACGCAGACACACTCATGCATACACTCACACATGCATACACACACATACACATATTCACGCACATAAACTCACACACACTAACATACACACACTCAAGCACTCACATTCACTCATGCACACATTCACACTAACACTCATACAGTGACGCACACACTCATGCACACACAAACACCCACACACATACTCACACGCATAGACACACTTGCATACACACACACGCATACACTCACACATGCATACACACATACATATTCGCACATACATTTTCCCACACACATACACACACTCACATGCATGAAGACACACACACACACACGCGGCAAGTTCTAAGCTGCTAAGACCCCTGCCCCACAGGCCACTCCCAGTCCTCTTAGCAAACTCCCAGAAGCCCATTAGGTCAAGCAAGAACAGCTACTAGAGGGGCCGGAGCGGTAGGACAGTGGAGAGGGCGTTTGCCCTGCGCGCAGCCGACCGGGTTCCGTCCTCGGCATCCCCCAGGGTCCTCCTAGCCCTGCCAGGAGTGATTCCTCAGTGCAGAGCCAGGAGTAACCCCTGAGCATCGCTGGGTGTGACCCAAAAAGCAAAATAAAGAAGAGCTACAGGAGGGCCAGAGCTGGGCCAAGAGAGAGGGCACGTGCTTTGCGTAAAGACACCCTGCCTGGGGTTGGTCCCTGCCTCCCTGAGCCCTGCCCTGAGCTGGGAGTCGGCCCTAAACACTGCTGAGTGTGCACCCAAAGTAAAAGGACCCCAAGTTAGGAAGAGGACTCAGGAGCCAGCTCAGTGCTCTGGGCTCCGAGTCTTGCCAGCAGGAGCCCTGGGTTTGATTCCCAGAAGCATAAAGTCCCCCCCCCCACCCCAGCACTGAGGGATGTCGCTTCAGGAGTGATTCCTGAGTCAGCCCTGAGCACTACAATGGGTGTGTGTGTGTGTGTGTATGTGTGTGTGTCCTGCAAAACACAGAGGCTGAAGCAATAGTACAGCAGGAGGGGGTTTGTCTTGTTCTTGGCTGACCCAAGCTAGAACCCCAGCACCCCATGTGGTTCCCGGAGCTCCTCCAGGAGTGATCCCTGAACTCAGAGCCAGGAGTCAGCCCTGAACACCACTGTGTGTGGCCCCGAAACCAAAGAACCCTGTGGCAGAGATGTTTCTTTCCCTTTGGTTGGTTTCGTGTTTCTTGGCTTTTGTGGGTCCCCTCTGGTAGTGTTCTCAAGGCTACTTCTAGCTCTGGCCCCTGGTGTGCTTTGTGTATCTTGGGGTGCCGCGATAGAATCTGGGCCTGCAATAATTGCACTGAGCCCCTTGTGTTTCTCTCCAGCACCCCCTGCTGCTCAGGGTTGAAACTACAGGGTGTGGGGCCGAGAGAGATAGCACAGTTGTCTTGCACCCCGTAACCCGGGTTCCATCTCTGGCGTACCTCTTAGGGTCCCCCAAGCACTGCCAGGAGTGATCCCTGAATGCAGAGCCAGGAGTCAGCCCTGAGCACTGCCAGATCTAACAAAAAAAATGAAACTAAACCAAAAAATAATAATAAAAGCAAAGGAAAATCATAAAACAACAGGGGATTGCTCCTCGCCATCCAAGAATTTGGGAATTCTTGGGTCAAGGACCACAGCAGCCACTCAGGAATGCAATGTACTGGGGCGTTTCCCACTTTGGGGATTGGAAATGCTTGCTCTGTGACTCCAGGTCCCTAAGCTCCTCTGAGCAGATGACCTGTGACCCCACAGCCCCTGGTCTTGTGGACTTGGGACAGGAAGCAGAGGGGCAGGGCAGGTGCCATCTTTCTTCTCTTTTGTCTCTTTTTGTTTGCTTTTGCACCACGCCCGGGTGACATCTCAGTCCCTTCCCTCATGCCTGAGCCTTTCACCATCCTTTGAAGATTCTTGGCCTTTGTCCTGGAGACCAGAGGGCACTGTGGGGGGGGCGGGGGATGAGAGGATGGAGTAGGCGAGGAGGGTGCAGGGCGGCCGAGTGGCCAGCGGGGGGCGCTCTTATCCTGCGTGGACAAAATCTGAAGCCCAAGAGAGGGGCAGAAGCTGCCTCCCCCCCCACCCCTCCACTGCCCAGTGTGCCTGAGAGCCAAACCAGGAGCAGCCCCCCGGCCCTTGGGACGCCCCAGCTTTGATTCTTCCTGGTACCACCACCCAAACCAAATCCAGGGTGATGCTGGGGAATCGAACAAGGGTTGGCCACATGCAAGGCAAGCTTGTGCTGTTTCCTCAGCATCAGTCAGAATGACCTCTACTGGGGCTGGAGTGATAGCATAGTAGGTAGGGCGTTTGCCTTGCATGTGGCCGACCCAGGGTTCGATTCCCAGCATCCCATATGGACCCTGGAGCCCTCCAAAAGTGAACTCGGAGTGCAGAGCCATGAGTAAGCACTGAACGCTTCCAGGCATGGCCCCCAAACCCAAAACTAACTAAAATCTTTTTTTTTTCCTTTTGACCTGGGGCTGGAGTACACGGGTAGGGCCTGTGCTCTGCACACTGCCAGCCCAGGTTTGTGTCCTGGCATCCCATAGGTTCCCCCTGAGCACCACCAGAAATGATTGATTACTCGAGTGCAGAGCCAGGAATAAACCCTAAGCACTGCTGGATGTGACCCTCCCCCCCACACACACATACACATACACTTTTTTTTTTCTTTTTGGGTCACACCCAGTGATTCACAGGGGTTACTCCTGGCTTATGCACTCAGGAATTATTCCTGGCCCTGGCGGTGCCCAGGTGACCATATGGGATGCTGGGAATCGAACCCAAATCGTCTGCGTACAAGGCACATGCCCTACCCTCTGTGCTATCGCTCCAGCCCCACACAAAAAATTTTATTGTTTTGGGGTCACACCCAGCAGTGCTCAGGGATCACTCCTAGTTGTGCTCAGGGGGCCCTATGTGACACCAGGGTTAGAACCCAAGTCAGCCGTATGCAAAGCAAGCACCTTACCCACTGTGCTATCGCTCCAGCCCCCTGGGGTGCATTCTTTGATTCCCTGTGTCGCATCGTTCCCCCTGAGCACTGCCAGGAGAGCCCAGGTCGTGGGTTTGAGCAGCAGGCACTTCCGTGGACTCTATTGAACTGCCAGTCCAATTGGCTGAGAATCACCAAGAGGGAGTGCCAGGACTCCTGACCACTGCTTGGGAGCTCAAATAAAAACAAAGAGGGAGATGGGGCTGGAGAGATAGCACAGCGGGTAGGGCGTTTGCCTTGCACACAGCCGACCCAGGTTCGATTCCCAGCATCCCATACAGTCCACTGAGCACCACCAGGAGTAATTCCTGAATGCAGAACCAGGAGTAATTCTTGAGTGCAGAGCCAGGAGTTACCCCTGTGCATCGCCAGGTGTGACCCAAAAAAGAAAAAAAAAGAGAGAGGGCTGGAGCACTAGTCCAGTGGGGAGGGCGTTTGGCTCAATCCCCAGCATCCCATAGGGTCCCCTGAGCACCACCAGGAGTAATTCCTGCGTGTAGAGCTAGAAGTAGCTTTCCCTGACCATCACCAGATGTGACCCCCCCCCAAAAAAAAACAGAGAGGAGGGGGTCATGGGGATGAGGCTAGAGTGATAGCACAGTGGGGAGGGCACTTGTGTCACATGCGGCTCACCTGGGTTCGATCCCCAGCATCCCCTCTGATTCCCCGAGCACCACCAGGAGTGATCTCTGAGCACAGAGCCAGGAGTCAGTCCTGAGCACCACTGGGTGTGCCCCCGCCCCCGCTCCAAGAAACAAAAAAAAGAGCAAGAAAAGTTTGGAGCGGCTCACAGGTTCTTCCCGCAGGTGCTGGCAAGAGCCAGGACGCCAGGCGTGGGCACAGAACCCATCTCTGTGCTCTGTGGGCTGTGTGATCTGGGCCAGGCGCGCTCTCAGGGGCCCAGGAAGAGGGGGGCGGTGGCAATTCCTCCTCACTGTGAGGACCAGGTGGGATGGATGAGACAGACACAGTAGGCGGGCACCAAGTGGGGTCAGGGGAGCCCCAGAGGGTCGACGGACAAAGTGTCGTCTAACTTGGTGCTCACTTACCACTGTCTTTTGTTTTCTGGGAGGTGAGGGTCACGTCTGGTGGCACTCAGGGCTGACCCTCGGCTCTGCACTCGGGAATTACTCCAGGTGGGCTCAGAGGACCCTACCGGGTGCTGGAGATCAAACCTGGGTCAGCTGTGTGCAAAGCAAGAGTCCTCCCCACTGTACTGTCGCTCCGGCCCCATCCGGTGGAACAGTTTGAACCCAGCTCCCCAGTCTTGGCTGGGCACTGTCAGGGCATGTCCTTAATGGAGTGATTATCAGGCTGGAGAGATAACACAGAGGCTAAGGCACTTGCCTTGCATGTGTCCAACACTATTGAATCCTTGGCACCCCTCTGAGCAACCCTCAGAGCACAGAGCCGGAAGTAGCCTCTGGGAACCTCCAGGGATGCCCAACTCCCCCCCCTTAGCCCCCCAAAGAACTAGTAGCTAGAGCTACTCTTTATATATTTTTTGGGGGGGAGAGGGGATCCATACCCAATTTTGCTGAGGGCTAACTCTTGGATCTGCACTCAGGGATTGCTTCTAGCATGTTCCACGGACCTGTAGGTCGGCCCCATGCAAGGCAAACGCTCTTTCGATTGCTCCAGCCCTGAGCAACTCTTTCGTGTGCCCCAGTCTTCACGGTTGATCAAGGAGAGAGGAAGAGGGGCAGATGAGAAGCCATTAGCCCAAACAGATCAATTACCTGGAGTGTGTGAGTCAGAGAATGTTCTAGGGAAGAAAAAAAAAAAAGAGGAAGCCCTTTGGGAGCATGGCACCGGGAGGGTGAGCTGGCTATGAGTGGGTGTCAGAATGGACCTCGCTCGAGGAGGGGACATCTGAGCAGAGCTATGGAGGAGGTGAAGGCGGAATCCTGCAGACATCTGGGGCAGAGCTGACCCAGCAGGGGGACAACCAGGATGACCCCCCCACCCCCAGGACAGCTGCAACCCGTGTGTCAGTCATGGACAGGAGGTATAGGGAGAGGAGCAGAGAGCTTGTTTCCTCCCCGGAGATGGGAGCAGGTTAGGACCCCCACAGGGAGGGGGACGGTGCCCCAGCTCAGGGTGACATTCGCCTAGAGAGGGAGGAGGTAGTGTGTACCATCAGGAAGGACAGAGATGTATGGATCACCCCAGTGGTGCTCTGGGGTTCAGGGGGTGTTGGGCAGGTACCTAAAGTGCTGCCCAATGCCTCCAGCCTCCAATTTTGGCTTTGTGTGTGTCTGTGTGTCTGTTTTTTTGTGTCACATCCGGCAATGCTCAGGGCTGACTCCTAGCTCTGCACTCAGGAATCACTCCTGGTGGTGCTCAGGGGACCCTATGGGATGCCGGGGATCGAACCCGGTTCTGCCGCATGCAAGGCTAAATGCCCTCCCTGCTGGGCTCTTGCTCCAGCCCCTCCAGCCTCCAATTGTCTGCACCACACTCAGCAGTGCTGGAGGTCGGCTCCCAGCTCTGTGCTCAGTGGTCGCTCCTGGTGATGCTCAGGGAACTGTGGGGACGCCAGGGATCAAACTAAGGTTGACTACACGCCCCCTCCTACCACCACCACCACCAAGCGCCCCTGGAGCATTTTCACACGGTTTGCCCCAAGAAGGTTTCTTGATGGCACTGACTGCGACTATGAGGAAGTGGGGAACGAGGCATCTGGAAGCCCTGGAGGGCTGTGATGTGTTTGCGGTGGTGGGAGCCAAAGCACCTGATGTTCATGGCCCGGGCACCAAAGACCTCCAGGAAACTCAGTGTCCTGGGTACTGTCGCCTCCTTGCAGGAGATCATGCACGCCCTGAAGATGACGTGGCACGTGCATTGCTTCACCTGCGCGGCCTGCAAGACCCCCATTCGCAACCGACCCTTCTACATGGAGGAAGGGTCACCCTACTGCGAGCGAGGTAGGGAGAGGCGGAGGCGGGGGGGGGGGGGGGGTTGGGGGGGGAAGCGGAGCACAGGAGGGACAGGAGGGAAGGGCCGGCCCGGAGCCAGCTCGCCCTTCCCCTCTGCCTCGATCTCCCCCCACTCCACCCCAGACTACGAGAAGATGTTTGGCACCAAATGCCGAGGCTGTGACTTCAAGATCGACGCCGGGGACCGCTTCCTCGAGGCGCTGGGTTTTAGCTGGCACGATACCTGTTTCGTGTGCGCGGTGAGTGTTGTCTCCTCCCCGCCCCCCCAGAGCCCCCGTATTCTTCACCTCCCGCCTCCCTTCCCGCTTCCAGCCGCCCCTCCCCGCAACCCTGCAGTGCCGTGTGACTGAGTCTTGGCTGTCCCCCAGATATGTCAGATCAACTTGGAAGGAAAGACCTTCTACTCCAAGAAGGACAAGCCCCTTTGCAAGAGCCACGCCTTCTCCCACGTGTGAGCCCCGCCCACGCATTGATCCTGCCCCGCCCACCACAAGGCCCCACCCACCACAAGGCCCCGCCCAGCCCCAGTAGCCCCTGTGGAGCAGTGGCTGGAAGGGGCTTGGCATAGGTCACCCCAGCCCCGACTCCTGGCCCGAGCCTGGGGTTCCCTGGACCCTGCCTGACGGTTCCCCCGTCATCTGCCCTCACTTGCCCCACTAGTACCATTGCACACCAGCCCTTGTTCACCTCCAGTGCCACAATAAAGATGTATTAGCCACGTGTCCTATATTGCGTCTTCCTGGCCCCCCACGTGTCGGGAATGCGGAGTTTGAGATGCACAACAGAGTGGAGGTTAAAGTTAAACTTCTCCAAGGGGTCGGAGAGATGGTACAGCGGGTAAGGTTCATGCCTGGCACGGCGCCCGACCCAGGTTTCATCCCCAGCATCCCGTGAGGTCCCCTGCCAGGAGTAATCCCTGAACACAGAACCAGGAGTCCTCCCTAAGCATCGCCAGGTGTTGTGATGAAAGAAAGAACAAGCTTGGGGCTGGAACTCCAGTACCTCAGTCGACCCAGGTTCGATCCCCAGCACCCAATATGGTGCCTGAGTGCAAAGCCAGGAGTAAGTCTGAGCAATGCCAGGTGTGGCCCAAAAACAAAAAGGGAGAGAGAGAAGGCGGCCCCGGGGAAGCACCACATAGGAGTATGAGCTCTGCTTGCAAGAGCCCCAGGTTCCATCCCTGCACTGAAGGATTCCCTGAGTACCACTGGGTGTGGCCCTCCAAACCAAAAAATAAGAGGGGGAGAAGAGGGCCAGAAAGATAGTACAGTGGGTAGGCACTTGCCTTGCATGCAGCTGACCTGGGTTTGATCCCTGACATCCCATATGGTCTCCCAAGGCCTGCCAGGAGTGACCCTGAGAATAGAGCTATGAGTAACCCGAGCACTGCAGGTTATTTGGCCCCTCCTAAAAAAAAAAAATGAGGGGAGAGAGCATCTCAATTGCCCAGGGGACTGGGAACCGCACAGTGTCTTCAAACACCTGCCAGGCATACGGTCATGAGTTCAATCTCCAAGGCCAAGTAAGATCCTTTCACATGCCAAATAAGATTCCTGCCCGCCCGTACTGCTGTTTGGGCTTGGCAGTCTTGCTGTCTGGCATCCCTTGGGCTGAGAGCCATTTCCTGCCTCCCCGAAGCCAGGTGTGTGCAAGCACCACATTTAAAAAAAAAAAGAAAAAGGGTGTAGCAGCTTGGCAAGCACCACCCATGCCAGGAAGGCGATTTCTGGTCAGCAGCCTGAGGTCTCTGCAGCGCCGCCCAGCGAGCATAGCTAGGAAGTGCAACCCTGAAATCACTTGAGAGGGATAAAGCACCTTGCCTAGTGTGTTAGGATACCCGTTTGATTCCAGCCACTACGTGGTCCTCTGGCTGATGCAGTTCTGGAAGTCTAGGAGCACTTTGAATGACTCCCCTACCCAGATAAAAACATGCAGGTAGAACAGGCAACGTGAGGCTAGAGAGATAGGACAGCCGGGAGGGCATTTGCCTTGCACGCAGTCAACCCGGGTTTGATCTCTGGCATCCCATAGGGTTCGCCCAAGCCCGCCAGAAGTGGTCCCTGAGCGCAGAGGCAAGAGTATGCCCTGAGCATCGCCAGGTGTGGTCCGAGAGAAAGCGAGAGAGAGAAGGGGTTCCATGGGACTGCTGGAGGCATACATAGTACAGCAGGTAAGGTGCTGAGTACCATTAGGTGTGGCCCCCTTGCAGGCAGCTGACCCAGGTTCGATCCCCTCACCCCATAGGGTCCCCCAAGACTACCATGAATGATCCCTGAGAACAGAGCCAGAAGAAAGCCCTAAGCACTAGCAGGTGTGGCCCACAAATGTGTGACCTATACTTGGCTGATCCAGGTTCGATCCCCAGCACCCCTTACGGACCTCTGCACACCAACAGGAGTGATCCCTGAGCGAAGAACCAGGAGTCATCCAGAGCACTGCTGGAAGTTGCAAAATAAAACAGAAACAACCCAGGGAAGGGTGGAGGGGAGGATCTCTGAGTGCTCCCCCTGAGGACTGGAGCAGGAGCACCAGACTTCCTGTTTTTTGTTTGTTTGTTTGTTTGTTTGTTGCAGGGAAGGGCCCGAACCTGGCAGTGCTCAGGGTTGCCTCCTGGCAGTATCCTTTGGGATACCCTAATGCAGTTCCAGGGATCAAACCTCCTGGCTCAGCAGCCTGCAAGGCAAGCTCTTGACTTGTACAGTCTCTCTCTGGCCCTCCTCCTGCTATTTTTCCGGACCCTGCCAGAGCCTCGAAGCCCCCTTGACCATTGACTGACTAAATGAGGTTTGGGGGAGACATTCAGGCATGTGGGCAGCCAGTGACAATCCCAATGCACTTTCCCCCTCCCAGGCAATTCCCCGTTGAGCTGGGGGCAGGCTAGGGCCACTGATCAGAGCTGGTTGTAATTGATGCCCTGGGAACGCTGGTGGGCGGGGGGCATGGGGAAACTGGGGGATTTCAGACTTCAGTCACCCTGGAAGAAGGCAGATGGCATGAGCCTCTGCTTTCAATCTGGATAATCTTTCAGTCCCACAAAGGAAAGTCCCCTCTCGCTGTTTTTCTTGAACCACCAAGCCCTCTGCGGCCATTCCCGGTTTCCATGGAGACAAACCCAGGCGAAGAGGGTGGGAGGTGGTCAGTACTCTGCAGAGCTGCAGACACTTCCGCCAGCTGGCCAAGCACAACCAGAGATTCAGGCTTTTCTTTTTTTTTTTTTTAGTCTAGGGGCCTCATCCAGCAGTGCTCTGAGGGAGCACTCCCTGCACTAAGCAAGCACTCCTGGTGCTGCTTAGGGAACCCTATGGGATGCCGGGGATCGAACCCAGGTCAGCCCTGTAGCACTGTAGCACTGTCCTCCCATTGTTCATCGATTTGCTCGAGTGGGCCCAGTAACGTCTTCATTGTGAGACTTGTTATTACTGTGTTTGGCATATCGAATACGTCATGGGTAGCTTGCCAGGCTTTGCTGTGCTGGCGAGATACTCTCCGTAGCTTGCCGGGCTCTCTGAGAGCTGTGACTTTATTTTTTCTTTTTGGGCCACACCTGGTGATGCTCAGGGGTTCCTCCTGGCTCTGCACTCAGGAATTACTCCTGGCAGTGCCAGGGAGACCATATGGGATACTGGGAATCGAACCTGGATGGGCTGCGTGCAAGGCAAACGCCCTACCCGCTGTGCTATTGCTCCAGCCCCAGACCTATGACTCTTTCTCGAGACACTGCAGGCAAAGCAGCTTGCCCACTGGATTAGATTATCCTTCCCACCCAGAGATTCAGACATTGATATCAAATCTGGGTTTCGTTGGTTGGATTTGGGCATCGGGGAGAGGGGCAGAAGACTCCCACCTGACTGGGACACTCAGGGCTTCTTCCTGACTCTGTGCTCAGGGATCACTCCTGGTGGGCTCGGGGACCCTATGGGGTGCCAGAGATCCAACCTGGATGGGCCGCATGCAAGGTAAGCACGTGCCAGTGGGGCTAGCTCAGGCTCATTGCTGAGAGAGCAGGGGTGGGGGGTGGGGGGGTACACACTCCCTCAGATGCTGGAGTACCAGGCCATGCCTAGGCTCAAAGCCATATCTCTTACAGGCAGACCATGTAACCAGCCCTCAGAGCCATCTCCCTGGACCCCAGAACCATTTGTTCAAACTTTTGCTGTGGGAGGAGGGGAAAATTTTACTCAGGGTTTACCCTGGCTCTTTTTTTTCTTTTTTCTTTTTTTTGCATTTGGGGTCACACCCGGCGATGCACAGGGGTTACTCCTGGCTCATGAACTCAGGAATTATTTCTGGCGGTGCTCAGGGGACCATATGGGATGCTGGGAATCGATCCTGGGTCAACCACATGCAAAGCAAAAGTCCTACACACTGTACTATCGCTCCAGCCCCCTCTTTAAAAAAAAAAAAGTTCCCTTGGATTGGGGGCCACACCTGGCAATGCTCAGGGCTTAGTCCTGGCTCTGCACTCAAGGATCACTCTGGGCAGGCCTGGTTCGACTGTGTGCAAGACAAACGCCCTCCCCACTGTCCTATCTCCCCGGCTCTGACTCTCTTTTTGTTTCAATTCTGTTCCACAAAACCATCATGATCAATAAATACATGTGCCAATTCCAAGGGGAGGGTGGCTAGCCAAGAGAAAGGAGAGAGAGAGAGAGAGAGAGAGAGAGAGAGAGAGAGCGCTCACAGGACTGGGCAGAGAAAAAGGAAGGGACAGCCAGGGATGGAGGGCCAGAGTGTTTCCAGAAGTTGCCAAAAAGTATCAAGGCCAGATAAGACTGAGGAGTCCCGCTGGGCTTTTGCAACAAGGTGGTCCTTGCCAGATCAGTTTAGCGAAGAGCTGGGGCCGGCTGCCAAGGTTATCGGAACCCAGGGCGAGGGTGGAGAGGAAGTCGATGGAGGGGGTGTAGACAGCTCTTTGAAGAGGTTTGGCCACAGCTTCCCCAAGACGAGAGGAGGACAATGAAGGATTCGCTGACAGTCACAGAGAGCAGAGTACGCTTGTCAAGATAAGTTAAGGGGACCTAGAGAGACAGCTCTATGTGTCGGGGTGCAGGTAGCATTGGGGGCAGGCCAGACCTGCAGGCTTTGTTGTTTTGGTTTGGTTTGGGGGGCCATACCCAACAGTGCTCAGGGCTCACTCCTGGCTCTGTACTAAGGGACCGCTGTGAGTGGGGCTTGGGGGACCATGTGGGGGGCTGAGAATTGCATCTGGGTTGGCCACATACAAAGTAAGCTCCCTATTAACTGCCTTATGATGTCTCCAGCTCCTTTTTTTGTTTGTTTGTTTCTTTTTGAGTCACACACAGCGATGCACAGGGGTTACTCCTGGCTCTGCACTCAGGAATTACTCCTGGCAGTGCTTGGGGGACCCTATGGGATGCTGGGAATCGAACCCAGGTCAGCCGTGTGCAAGGCAAATGCCCTACCTGCTGTGCTATTGCTCCAGCCCTGCTCCTGTTTTTCCTAAAAAAAAAAAGTTTGGGGGACACATCTGACAATGCTCAGGGCTTA